CCTGCCAGACACCATGCAACCCTGCCACTTCATTCTTGATTCTTAACATAACAAGTCTATACGTGTATTATAATAAAACAAAAATCAAATCTGTTTCTTGGAGATGAGGGCTGTTCCAGAATAAATAAATATCTGACACTATTCTTCTAAGTATGAATCTTTTCCAAGGCTTTGAAATTTGACAGTGCTATTTCACAAATTCCTATGGGGCTGCTCTACTGCTAGGCTAGAAATCTGACTATGGAACTGAGGAAGAAAAGAAGAGAAAGATCCCCAAACAGAGAAGAAATATTTTAGCCTGACTGGTGAGTATTTCTATTTCTTGCTGCCATGAATCTTCTGTGTCTTGCAAAAAAGGAGGGGATATGACACCTTCTAAAACAAAGAGAAATAACTCAATCCCAAGTCTGTTGTGAAAAATCATCTGCTCTCCTTGACTTTCCAAAAAAACTCCCATATCTTCAGTGAGTTCAATCGAAGTTTGTATAAAGCATAAGCCACCTTTGCATTTCTTTACAAATTTATTCCTTCCTGTTCTTTTCTATGTGGCAGTTTTGTGACTTTTTAATAATGTCTTGGCCATCTAGCAGCACTGGAAAAAGACAAAAGAATTTCTGTAAGAGCAAGTAAACCCTACTTTCATGTGACAGAGAAATGCTTACACTTCATTAACCTTTATTATAAACTAGTCATTGGAAAAGTTACTTTGCTAGAATCCACACTATGGTTTCACTCTACAAACCACAAAATGTCAGAATGCTAAATTACAGTAAAATACTGCTCACCTCCTTATGAACCCGAGATTAATGATACGGTGCAGAAGGGAATAGCGGTGCTACTAGGAGCGTAACAGGTCACAATCACTTCTAAAATAGCTCATCAAGAACAGGCAGCAAAACATCACAGATGGTTCCCAGAACTAAAGCCCCCTTCTCAACGTACCCATCACCGAGACGTCGTATTCAACCAGCAGGGTCGCCTCCTGCCCGCACTGTTTGAGAATGCTCATGGCTTCTGCATGTGTCGTTCCCAGGAGTCGGATCCCATCAACACTCAGCAGCCTGTCCCCAGGTTTGATTGTGCCCTCTCTGGAGGGAGATTAAAGAATGATCTTTATGAATACACGAGAAATTAATTTGATTTGGAGATAATACCATTTTTATGCAAAGTGATTCTCTCAACACCCTCTCTGACATCCACCCCTCTTGCCTTAACATTTACTTGGATGGTGAGAACGTTCAGAGGGCACAGAGGAAAGGAAATTGCTTTAATTGAAAAGTCAGCGACTGGAAAATGGCTTAACACGTAGCTAAATAATCAAGTCATGTTAAATTGCAACTAAGCATAGCTTCTGCTTCAACATATGCTTTCTCTCTGCCTTGTCCACACAACTCCTCTTTCATACATACATAAACACCTCCTCCCTCGGTATTTTCTTAAAAATAAATATGATGTGCAAACACATGGGTAAAGAAACAGATTGCAAAATACGAATGTCCATTTATTGATTTTCTTCAAAAATATCCCTTACTTGGATAACTCCATTTTTCTTTTCTTCCTACCTAAAATTAATTTGTTTATTAATTTGCTATAAATGTACACCATCTCCGAGGCATCTCATAACATATTCAGAATTATAATAGAAAATGAAGTACTAACATTGTCAGCTCAGGAACCAGGGAGAAAAACAAGGCAGTGAAGGAGATAAGGGTGGGAAGAAAGGGAGGGACAAAAACCAAAAGCTCTCTTGAAGCATTTGCTTCTTGACTAATGTTTCCAAGGTCAAAAATGTCAACGTAGGCTACAGAAAATCAACCTGCTTTAAAGAAATTGCCCTTTAAGTTTCTCTGATGGTTTGAGGACACAAATGCCATTTCTGAAAATATAATTCCATACATATAAATAAGGTGAATATTCTTTCTTTATGTATATACAAGATAGTATTACATACAACAAGATGGTATTACATACAACTATGTTTTTTGGGCCAAAATATAAATCTGCACTCAGACATTATCCAGGTGAAGTTATGTGTGAGCTCACATGCAGACATGTACAAACATCTTAAAATAACAATACAACAACATCCAAGCACATGACAGGATTTTTCTGAAGTGCAAGAGAAAAAGATTGTGCTGTTGGAGTATAAAAAGCATAATTAAGTGCTACACCAGCTGTCTGAAGGCTGCAAAAAAACGTGCTTTGACCTATTGCAGGCATTTATTCTAATTATTTTTGGTTGACTTTTGAAAGTGTTTAATGGGAAAGTCTGGAAACATGCAACATACTAAATTATAGTCCATACATACAGTGATGTGCCGAGCCTCTTACTGTTATTACTGCGTATTACTGTTATTATTATTACAATTAGATGCATAAACGATGAATTTCAAAGGAACAGATTTTAATATATCTACTTCACTCCAAATCCTAACTTCTGTCCCAAATAATTCACCTTTCTTCATTTCTCTTCCACATGCATTCCAGAGAAAGATGAATTGTACCTGTCAGCAGGCCCTCCAGGTCTAACACATGTTATTACAACAGGACGAGATTTATTTCGGTCATCGTGTGCTCCACCTAGAAAGGGAAAAGTGAGAGAATGCGCACCTTCAATTTATGCTTTTTGTGAAAGCTCATTTCCAAAAGCCAAGCCTAAACCTTGCAGTATGCACATTTACAGATGAGCTAAAAAGCTCAAAAAATAGACAAGCCATTAATATAAATCTTCACTGAGTTTTACCTTAAATAAAATCAAACTACTGTATGGTATAGATGATTCTTTATAAAATATTTCTACAGAGTGATTCTTCATAAACTTTTATTATTTTCTTAGAACCTCTACTCCGCAAATCTGATCTCAGTGTGAAAACTTACTGTTCTGCAATGTTTGCCACACAGAGAAAAAAAATCCATACTTTATGTATACTCAGAATAATGAGTGGCCACTAAGGGATTTATATATTTTATTAAAAAAAAAAGTTTTTCCTGAATAAACTAGTAATTCATCACTGGGTCATATTATTTAACAGCGGCATGTTTTCTTCTGTTCTCTAAGTCAGTGTTAATACTTTTGTTGTATAATTCAGACTATCAGCACAATTAATCAGATTTCATACTGAATTTATACAAACACTGCATGTGTTTCTTTTTTAAGAACTACAATCTCCCTGCTGATTTCAGTGGTAGCAGAATCTGGTCTTATGTGAGACGAAGTTTGTCATGTTCTTGGCATAGTTGATTAATTACTGTTCTTCCATAAACAAAAATTAAAGCAGTTCATAAAAGCAGTACATGAATGTATGGAAAAAGTAACACATAAATCACAGATATTTTCCCAAACTGTAAGCCATAAATCTTGAAATGATTTCTTAGTGCCACTAAAAACTTACCACTTTTTTTGCTGATTTAGAAAATACAATTTTAATAACTCACCTCTTATTACAAATCCAAAAGTGTTCCCCTCTTTATGTAAAGTAACTTCCACAGTTCTAAAGATGAGACCTGATCCTTGCACAGCTAAAAGAAAAAAAAGAAATGAGATTCCAAAACCGAATTATTATTATTTTTCTAATTATACTCACAAAATTTCACTTTTTCCAATTTATGATAGCGACTGTGTTTCTGGTCATACAATTGGAAAGACTCCCCTACAGAAGAGTCAGACTAAAGAACTGTAATAAAATTCAACTCATCCTCTTTTTGAGAGAAATTAGCTCCAGATATTTTGCAAATTGCCGATGGTTTGGAAAAAGCGCCACAGATGCATATAACAGATGAGGAATTTGAGTCTTACTATTTAAAGTGTGGCATAATTTTGCTTTTCTTATAGTTACAGAAGAGAGCTAGAGAAGATGGAAATACACGAGACACAAAAATGACAAATTATATTCTTAAAGCTACCTATGGAGTTTGCTCAGTCATTAAAACTTCTATTTGTATTCCTTAAAGTCAAGGCAGTTGAGATTTTATGGTGTATCTCTAGACTCAGATGACTAGATTAAGATGAAAAAAGTATTTTGTATCACAAGGATTTGTTATGTTTTTCCTTTTTCAACATGTAACGTGCTCCTTCATCATTGCTAAATGAGTTAAAAAAATCTCTGACTTCAACTTGAGTCAGTATTTTCTCCGTAAGCACAAGAGGAGTGGTGCACAGCTGGGTTAGGAGGTGAGAGGCATAAAGCACAGACCAACAAAATTGAGTGTGTTAATCCACTTCACAGAATTTGAAATCACCACTGTTCAGAGACCAGCAGCCAGTTTACTATTAGCTTTTACAGGAAAAAGTTTGGCAGGGCGTAAGAACTCCGTTGTCCAAAGGGAAAAGCACACTGGGCAAAATCTGACACATGCACACTTCCCAGCTTCCAGAATAACACACAGAAAGATTAAAAAAACCCAACCCTCTATAAAATAAATGTTCAGTAAGCAGCAGAACTAATTAAAACTTACATCCTTTAATGCTCCTGCCTGCAATAATCAGTTCCCCTGGTCCCCATTAGGACACCCTGAGGGAGCAATGGATACCACAGGTTGGGGAGGTATGCGCTGCCATCCATGAGTGTCCCCAAGGAGAAGTGGTGCCTCCCCAGCGCTGCCTCCCTCTGATGACTCCCCTGGCCCGGGACTCTCTCCTCTGCCCAAGTGCCTATTTCCACAAAATGTGCTGTAATGCACTTTTTAACTTTGGAGTCTTTCAATCCTCTGTTAAAAAAAGTTACTGCAGGGAACCAGAACAACCCAGTGAAATCACATCAATCTCACTTCCTTAGGAAAACAGGCGAAAGATGGCCCTCCAAAGCATTGGTTTGTATTGCAATAATTCCTGCTACAGCTTGAAGATCAGGACTGTGTTACTGAAATCCATGCAGTTGGTTGCTTTTCTGCTAGAAACATTTTACTCCCAAAAAAGGACGAATTACAGGGAGAAGGAGGCAACTCTTGCCTTCATTCCTGTGAACCGAAAGTGGCCTGGCACGTAACTCAAACTGAATCCATGCTTTCCAATCTGCTTGGTGTGGCTGGTAACCTCCACGGGGGACATGTGAAGCCTGTAGTTCAGCAGTGAGGAATGGCACACAGCATCCTCCCATGTGGGCAACAGTTTGGAAGGGGAAAGAAGTCCTTAGCCTTTAGCAACAACAAAAGGCAGCTGCGAGGCAGGCATGGCTCACATTCCAGTTTGAAACCCTGAGGAGGGTTTGTGCTGAAAATAGCAGCTGGATGCTCCTTCTGTGAACACTGCCAGGCAGGGCAGGAAGCACTGGGGAGACTGGGATTATGAGTGCTCAGACAGGTTTAATCCATCATTATTAAAGTACTGTCACTTTCCCACTCTGAAACTGTGATATTCCTCTCTCTGAGGGGGCAACCATGAGAACAACAGGAAAATTTCATTATGTATGGGGCAGGGAAGGAGATGCCAGGATTTCACCATCTACTGGAAAAATTATGTGCTTACTGAAGGCACTGTGTCTGGCTTCTTCACTAGAAGTTAATGGGAACAACCAGACTGCTAATTATCTCCAACTTTATTAGCTATGCTCATACGGAGGGGTCAGAAATTCCAAGGACTTAAAGAAAAAGTAACAACTGCTACTGTAATTTAGCACGTCAAAATCCCAGTTCACTGGACAAGAGTGGCACATATGCCAAAAGTGAGTGAAACGGAAGGAAGCCTACTTGAACAAGTGCAAAACAACGTCCATAAAACAACTACATCTCCAGCAAAATAATTCTGAACTCAGCTGACTTCATTAACTCAAATACTGCGTTTTTGAACACAAAGTTCCCTTACCACAAGCAAACACTAATCAACAGAGAATATTCAAAACATACTAAGGTGGTTGTCAGGAGGTTATAAAAGCAGCCAAATATGTAATCAGACTAACTCTCCAGCTGTTAGAAAGCAGTGGGGAGTTCATCCTCTTCTGAGCACCAAGGAGAGTGATGGACTTTTTGGCTTCTATTGTGATTAAAGTCTTTATTTAAGGAGACAAGAGCTTCCTAGCTGGCTTTGCAGGTTTTTGTAGCCAATCATCAGCAAACCATATCTTCAACCCTACAGTGAGTAAGCATGAAGGAGCACACATGCATTTAAAGGTGTGGCTGGTGCAACCCCCCTGGTGGCAGGCCACTCACTCCTTCCCTTTAGGTCCCAGGTTTCCAACACAGCATTACCCTGGCTTTCACTTGATACCTGGTAGCCTCAATTCCCACTGATTTTCTCCTACAGACACACAGTCGCAGACACAAGCACAAAAAGAAAGAGCAAAGGAGGACCCACTGGGTCTTCTGCTCTAAAAACAAGATGTTTTCTGAAAGTGATGCCACAGAAGACCAGAAAAGTCTCAAAGTATGTTCTTTATCTGGGAGAGTGAGAGGGTGCTGGAAGTTGAGAGAAGGAAGGAAAAGGCAGAGGCAGAACTCACAGATCTTCTTGGTCTCATCTCAGAAGATCTCACTGTAACAAGAAAGATTCTCTAGCCCTGCAATGTACCTAACCTAAATTCTAGTATTCAAAATTGTAAACAAATGAACAAACAAAATAGCAGAGGCTCACAATTCTGCTCTGCCATTGGCAGCATTTATGCTCCTAAAACACCCGAGTATCTCTGAGAGCATCCCGCTGTACAGCCAATTCTTGCATACTGCTTCCACGCTCTGCGATAAGCCAGAGGAAAAAAATATAATAAAACAACCACTACCAAAATGAGGATCACCAACCATGCCGATCTTACTGCTGACAACATGTCTGGTATTCAGCATAGGTTTCAGGTTGTCCTGCTATTACTTACAGATTGGAGGCAGCTCATACTCCACTTCTAAAACAACCCTCTCGCCCACATTCTTCAGCAGGCTGATGATCTCATCGTGGCGAAATTTGGTCAGGTTGATTCCATTCACAGATTTGATGTAGTCCCCTATATCCAGCTGATCGCTCCTAGGAAAAAGTACATAATCATTTTGTTAAGAATATATGTGCTGGACCAAACTAAATCCTTTAAATTACCGTTTAGTGGTGGTAAGAAATATTTTTTCCATTCATCTAGATTAAAACAGGTTGAACTTTCAAACAGGAAGTGGCATTTTAAGATCTTAATCTAGTCTAGCTCGTTAAGTATTAAAAGAAGAACATTGTTGCGTTATTCATTTCTGATGTACAAAACAATGGAGAGGCTGGAAAATTTGACTGGTTTAGGCACAGGATCTGGGAAATCATAATCTTCGTGTTGCCATCTTTCTCTCTGTCTTTGGGAAGCGTCAAAAACTATTGTTTTGGACAGTAATTGCCTTCACAGCTAACATCACAGCTACAGCAGATAGGCCACAGCCCAAAAGCAGATGTTCTGCTCAGTTACTTGGAATGATTTAGCTTAACCTCTATCTTTTCAGTTGTTTCACCCATGAGTAACAGCTGTTTTGTTTCCACTGTAGCAGCAAACAAGGTAGCTATGACTTTAGACTCTGTAATCTTAAAACCAGCTGATGAACAGTCTTTTTAAAAATTAAATTACAGTGGTACTATGGTTAGTTTTTACATGTAACTTTTTCCCCTCAGTATCTTATGCTTCTTCTCTCAAGCTTTTGTTCAAGGACAATAAAATGTATATAATATAGAAGAAATCTAAATAGTTTGATGTCAACTTTCAAATATCTCATTGGTATTTCTGGTTTTTGTCAAAGTAGCCTTGAGGGAAGAAAGGGACCAGCTGTTGCTGTTTCTCTCCGAGCTTCTCTGGTCTGATGGGCTGCCATTATAAATGCATCCAGTCGTACATTTGTTAGTGACCTTTCTGATGCAGTATGTATTTCTGGAGCAATCGCATCTTATAATGCATTTTGTGGGTTGAGATGAGGTTACCTAGCAGCGATTCCTCCTTGACGAAGGTTAGATACTCTTGGTTTCCCATCCTTGTCGATTCCACCCGATACTGTAAGTCCTAGGGTGGTGCCTTCTTTTTTCATTAATTCAACTATTGTCGAGCCCTTGAATTCCTCTGTTGAAAGAAAATTATTGGCATTATTAAAATTGAAGTGATAACACAGACGTTGCCTTTCTGAAATGTCATCTACTTCCCAAGAAAATCATTGCATACGTTAATAGGAAACAACGCATACATCTGGAGATTTTTTTATGTTACAATTCACAAGTTCTGTCTGCAAGGCTCTGCATAGAGATAAATCTGAGACATATGTTCTGTAAAAGGTTATTAAAAACCACACCAGTGTGCTAGCATGCTATACAGAACCAATAGATACCAAGTTTGGCAACACTTACAACTAAAGGTAGTTGTTTCACATTTTTAAAAAGCTTTCTTTTCTTATTTTCTTCTTTCTCTCTCTGAACCCTACATTTTATAAAGTATTTCAACTGATTAACTAAATAGAAGGGTAAAAGACACAATGATGTAATGATACTAGAAAATTTTATATCCAGACTCACTTTGAGGCCACTGGTAGATGTCACTGTTAATCAAAACGATTGACCGTAACAAGAATCCAGATGCAGATTGAGCGTATCAGATATTAAAAGCCTTATTGCTTATTCTTACACAAACAGATCTCTACTGCAGCTCTATGAAATCTCTGCAGAACAGGTATAAAGTAAATGAAGGATTTTCATAGTCATAAGCACATATAAAATTTCCCTAATGCCCTCTCCTTTACCCATTTAGCATTCTTGGAAAATGCCAAGGTAATCTCACAGACCTCCACAAACGCAGGTTACCTGCCATGGAAAGCCTTGATCTCTCAAAAAGAGATGTCCTTATTGCACGTGGATGGACAAGGCAATCTAGAAACGCACAGTTCCAGCAGGGCTGCAACTGTTCGGAAAGCCAGGAGGCACTCATACCTCATGGCCAGTGTTTCCAGTCAGAGAAGACCTATTAAAAACACCAGCTGCCCAGGTATTCTGAAAAAAATACATGAAGTCCTACAGATTCACCTAGAAAATTATGAAATCCTGGAAGGATCACCCATCTTTCTGGTCTTTTCAGCATCAATATGCAGCTTTTAGGTCAGTTGGTCAGATACAAACATCATATATGCACTGCAAAAAACATTATGTCTGCGCTGCACTAGCACTTGCTGTGGCAGCATGAGGTTCAGAGATTGAAAGTCACCCAGAAAATAAACAAGTTCCTCATATACATTCCTATGTTCATCAGAAAGGTCCAGAATAAGCACTATACAAACAGCAACAAGGCTCTATCAATACCTTTCCACATGACTGAGAAGCTCACCTAACACAGCTTCACCTCAAGATGAAGAACTGGTGCCCTGAATGAGAATTCCCAAACCTGGGCAATACCAGGGTAATGGTGGTGGGCAGAGGAAAGCATCCAGAAGAGCCTTCAGCCCTGGTAGAGTGTCCTGTAAAACCTGGTAGTACTTCTAACAGGGTTAACTGCTCAATCTTTTGCAGACATAGCACCATCCCATGCAATGTTCCTGCTCCTTTCTAGGTGGCTGACAGGCTCTTCTCTCCATTCTGGCTGATGACAACCTCACTTCAGTTACTCACATTTTTACCATTATAAAGCATGACTTAAGTGCTTGGGCGAGAATCTCCTATGCTTATAAAGCTTCTACTAAGACAAAATTCTGCAGGGTATTTGGTGAGCAGCATGGGCTGTTGAAATGAGTATTTTAAAAGTGTAAGATGTATTTGTAAAAAGCTAAGATTACAAGAGACTGTGGGACTGTTCAAAATGCGCCTCTATCCAGTCAGAAGCAGACAGTAGCACAGCTACCTGGTGTGTTCTCCAACTTGGCTGACACCAAATCATCATCTGGTGTCAGTTGGAAGCTATTGAGCTTCCACAATGTGTGCTCACATCTGGCCTTTTTGACAGTTCAGAAAGAACAGATGTGATTACCTGCATCTGAATATGAAGACATGTTGCATAGCTGTAGGAGATGCTACGGACCAAAAAGTTGCTTTCAGTTTTATAAAAACCTGCAAGCATTCATAATGACTACACAAGTTAGTCGTGATACTTACTGTAACCAAAAATACTGTACATTTGCACCCATGGACTTGGCAGGGCTATGTTAACGGTTGGACTTGATGATCTTAAAGGTCTTTTCCAACCTAAACGATTCTATGAGGCAATCTCAGGTGATTGGCCAGTGAGTCACACTTGTTTATTTAGCCTTTAATCAATTGTGAGATCTGGACTCGAAAGGAAAATTCCCCTCTCTCCCCCATCTCCCAAACTGAATCCTTCCATTGCACTTCTCAGTAGTACAATCTGGTTCTCAGGACCATCTAAGATTTTTTTTAAACAAATGCTTTGCCAGAATATGTACGCAGGACATCAGGAATGCACTGCACATGTCTAATATATGCCATAGCATAATACTGTCACATGTTTTGATCTTTTATATAGCTTCTGAGTTTGCAATCCAATGCTGGGAAATACTCTGCTGCCTGAAGTGACATGCAGTGTTTTAAGCCAGCTTATGATTATACAGCTCCTTGCAACTACTGGCATGAAAATAATGGCCAGGCTTGTCCCTTCTCACCATCTACTCTGAGAAGTTTCTGTATACCTCTGCCAAGAGAGCAGGAACCTCAAACACTCTTCTGTGTTAGACAGAAGGGAAAGATGCACCAACGCTGCAAGGGAGTGGTGGTGTGAAATGCTCATTGCTAACTGACAGGTAAGGTCATCTAGGAGCACGCAACAGTTTCATTAGGTTTGCCTCTCTGAAAGATTATGCAGCTTTTGTTGTAAATAATCATAGTAGGAAGCAATTAAACTACCTAAGCTGGTTTTGCTTATGAGAGATCTATCCCTGGAAGTGCTGTGAACCAGGCACATCTGATACCCCTGTCTCTGTTTTTCATCTTTGCTTTCTTAAACTGCACACGATTACTTTTCTTATAATGCTATATATTACATGTTTACTCATCTGCATTGCTTCAACATTATTATTACAGACTAATCCCCCTGGAGTATTATTGAAATGCCCAATATCAGAATAACCCTGGGACTCTATTTCCAATCCAACAAGCAACTGCATCTGTACACGCTATTCCCTAACCAATGCAAGGTCAGTCTCTACTCCCTAGTAAACACAAAGCTATGCTACTCTTTGTGGGTTAAAAATCAAACTACTTCATGTATCACCTCACTCATAATTCATTACTTATGCCGACCAGCAAAATCCTAATTAGTTAGAAGTCTCCGGGGTCTGTTCTTTTTGTACATGTACTCCTACACTGCTAATAACATTAGCATAGCCAGCATCAGAAGGGAAGGCAAAGAAGTTATTTCCAGATTTCTTGTAATTTATGAGTAAACCAGGAGTTGAATTTACAAGTCTTTTGCTTAGCGGTAAAGTGAATATAGAACAAGAGCTTAAGAAATGTCTTCTTGCTCCATAAGAGTTTACGAAGTATCAAATATCAGAACACCACTCCTGCAGTACAGCTCCGTGATATGAACCAAATGAATTATTCTAAAATGAAACCACATAGAGAAAAGATGGTTCCAAGTCTATAAAAAGCCCAAATCAACACTATTTTACACTTCAGCTGGAGAAATGCACTTGAGAACTTCTTCCTCTCCCACCATTAACAACTCCAGCAAAACGCAGCTCACACTGGATCCTGCCTTCCCTTGGCCTGGGGAGGGTTTCGGGTCCCTGTGTGGTGGGATCAGCATCCAGACCCGCCCTGGGACTGCCATTGTTCCTTGCTGCTGCAGGGGTGCTCCTGGGCATACAACTGCCCATGCTGCAGCAGTGCTGCACCATGCTACACAGATTTGCTGGCATCCAACTACCATGGAGATGGGCTCAGCAAGGAAAGTGCAAAGACATATACTTGTACCTGTATGCACACTTGTACACGCATGTAGCTGTAAGAAAAGAAAGGTTCTGCTCCAAAGAGCTTAGTTTAGCTCTCCAGTCCTGCAAGCTAGCAGCTGAACATTGAAGAAAATATTGCACTGCTGCTGTTTTCTTAACTCCTGGGCTGGATGCTCCTCTTTGCTTCGCTGCGGCAATACCATAAATTGTGTGCACCTGATTTGCAGCAGGGTCTGTTGGTATGACAAGACTCTGATCTGCGCTGCAACCTGAAACACTACAGGGACACTCAACGTAGCACAAGAAAACTTCAAAGACAAGTAGGTGCTCCAATACAAGACTCTGTAAAGTGTAAGAAGATGAATAAACAGAACAACTTGCAGGTAAGTAAAGTCCAAGAAACGGCACGTCAAATTAGTTTTTCTGCAAGGAAAATAGTACCATGATAAAGCTTCTAGAATTTTGTACATGATCAGACTCTTTGTAATTTCCTGCCTTTTGACATATGTAAATAACATGTTTTAATGAATAAAAAGGATGGAAAATAAATTGGCTCATGAGATTTCTGAACCTGGAAAAGATTTTCAAAAAGAAAATTAAATACCAGAATACAGAAGAGATTTTTTCACAGAAAGCTGAGAGAACACTTAATCAAAAGTTTTATCATCTATTTTCAATATCCCTATAATTTTATATCTTAATTTACACATTAAAGTAAAATTGAAAAATATTTTACTTCATTCCAGATACTGAATGCCTTTTCTGTCCCTTTTGTGAAAATTTCATTTTGAAATCCAAGAAAAATGCCCCAAATCTACACAATCAGGTCAAGTGCTTGTATCCTCCACCTAGTGAATGAGTTTGTTCAGTGCAGCTGGCACAGGGCGTAAATGGAACTCAAAAGTAAAAAAATACTTGCTGTTATAGACGGTTTCCTACCAAAAGACATACATAATCAATAAGTAATTGGTAAGCCTATTGAAAACACAGTCAATGTTGTGCTTGCATGGATTTTTCATGTATGTCAGCAGAAATTCTGCAGAGGAAACCTTTTGCTTTACATTCCAGGAGGCACCTCATGGCTTAATAAGAAATCACATAAGGACAGAGTCAATTCTTAAGAAACAGATAGCAGTTTGTTTTACTGGAGACATCACATCTACTCAATGTTTCAAGTCCTGCGGGTAGGTGTATTTCTCTGACTGTGACATGACGGATGTCAAGAGATGACGAATGCTCCATTCCTTGTCCTTTTCCTGACTGACTGTCACTACCTGCTAGAACATCTACATTTTTATTAAAAACAAGCAAACAAAACCACACTGGTGAAGAGAATCTGAAAATGTGGTGCTGCCCTTAACCTGCTCTGTGCCATCTCCTCCAATCCCCAAGCCAGTCCAGAAGGCAGCAGCCCACAGCAGAAGACAAACCGGTAAGAGGTGCAATCAGAGCACATTTACAAGGCACAACACACTGCAGCTACCAACGGGACTGTAAATTCAAACAATGGCAATGCAGGTTGCCTTGGGTCAGTGGCAGGGCTAATGTGATTTTGATAGCGTGGATAAATGTTGTAAAGGTGAAATATTGTACCATTTTCAGTGAAAGCAAGAAAGATGGGTAAGGCTCAGGCACTTGCAAAAGCTACCTAAATTAGACTCAATTCATACCAATAGCTATTTTGGTGGTGTAGAAGGCATTACACAATCTTTCCTCTTCTCTTCTCTTCTCCCCCAGCTATATGAGCAACTACAAGATGACTTTGCCACTGCAGAAGTACTACCTAAAACCCAAATACCTTCCACCAGTGTTTATAAACTGGAAAAGGTCTGACTGTTGCCTGACCTAGGCATGACACAGAAAACCAAATAATGGTATTTTATGATCAACCATGGGCTGTGATACAGAGGACGTGATCACACAACTCACTGAAAACACCAGCCCTTTCAGGACATGGGAGCACAGCTCCCATCTGGGTTGGTTGGTTTCCTGCCTAAAAAAGAGCTTAGTTCTTGAGCTATTTGGTTTTGCGTATGTTTTCCATACACAGAAAGGGATACCTTGGCAGCCAATTCTAAGTAAAAACTGAAGCATACAATATAGGTGTTCTTAAATTTAGCATCAAACATAAGCATTACATTTGAAACTCTATTTATAACTAAAAGATTAGAGATTAATATAAATATTCCAAACCTGAAATCAAATAACAACCAACTGAAAGCCAGTAACAGACCAAAATGTGCCTCTCAATGACAAGAGTCTCATCAATTTCTTAGCAAAAGAGCACTGGCAGAAAAACCTGATAATATGACATGGTTATTGACGCACACCACAGTAACTTCAGTAATTACATTTCAGGAGAGAAATCTTTAGCAGGACTGTAGGGGTAAGACTCTTTCTATGAAAGCATCTCTTCTTTGTGAGTGTAATAAAGAAAAACCCATCGTCAGCTGCTGGAGAACAGCATTTCATTTTTCACAGCGTTGAACCATTTACCTTCCTAAGGCAGAACATTTCCATCCCACAGCCTCCAGCACAGTTAGGACAAACTGCCCCAGTGCTTCACCAGCAGCGGCACAGCAATGGCACATGTTCAAGAGGCAATGTCCTGTTTGTGTCTCAATCCACCCCTCTTCCAACCGGAGTGGTAGAGGAAAATGCAAAAATGGCATGGTGTAAAACCAGTTTTCACAGAGAAGCAGCTTCATACAGCAGTGACAAGGATGATCTCTGTACAGCCAACTTACAAGGGATGGTGTAACATGAAGGATGCAAAATAGTCTGCTTTGAACTTGAGGAAAATGTGGTCCACGGATGCGGTTGTATAAGAAGCACAGAGGTTTCTCTGGGGTAATAGCAGCAGCTATGCAGACTAGGGTAGGAGCTGGATGGCCACGTGGCTAGAAGCTTCTCCAAGCAAGACAAGTGCTGGTGAGGGAACAACAGGCTTTTTCGTTCTCCAAATAGTCCCCTTCACAAAAATTCCATAACGAAATACTAGTTTCAAATACATTTTAAAATTTGCTTTTGCTTATGTGATTGGGTTGCACAATAATGACAGAAAACAAAATAACCCTAACATTCCAGTATTAGAAGTCTAAAATTATTTATCATGCTGTTGTGGCTTAAGCACATGGTTTAATATGCTACTTTCACAGGTACTGCCCATTCAAAGAGATTAACCTAAGTTATCCCAATACAGATGATGGCACCTGAATCTTCTAAATGCTGGGGCTGCTAGGAATTTTTGACAGTGACCACTTTCAAATTCTTCTTTCTGTAGTTTGTTTTTCACCCTACATCAAGGACTGAAAAGTTATCAGGCCACACATGGTCAGAATAACAAGAAGTCCTTCCCTATCCACATTTCCTTGAGATGGCTGGTGACAAGGCTTATGGACGAATAAACCAAATGCAACCAGTGAGGAGATACGTGAAAGCAATTTTTTAAAATTCCACTTAGTTTTGGACTGTGTGGGAGAGCCCAACAGTGGGGAATGGCAAAATCACAGCCACTGAGAAAATGTTTACAACTGCTGTTTAGAGGGCTTCTTCTTATTTTTAAGTTATCTTTCTGTAATTTTTTGCTCCTGTTTTCTTAATTTGTGTAGATAAAAGTAGAACGTAATGCATGGGAGAGCATCTGTGTAGAGGAAAATTAAAACATACAAGATTACAGTTTTATAATCCTCCATTATAGGTAAAGAACCAAATTATAAGCCTGAATTCTTACAAGTATATTGAAGAACAATTGACATATTTTAATTAAAATGGAATTAGAAAGTAAGATATGTTTCAAGTTTAAGTGTCAAAAATAAGAGAATTACTATTCATAGTCCCTGAGCAAATCTTGGCAGAGAAATTCAATTAGAGGAAAAAATATTAATAAAATTATAAAACATTAAAACATTTCGCTTCAGTAAATATGAATAATTTAATATATTACTGTAAGAAGATGCAGATTTAGTGGAATCATAACAACAAAACTGTTTTTTGCATTATTACCTACAAAAAAGATATTTTATCCCTCATATACTACTTTAGAATCACAGAATCATTAAGGTTGGAAGAGACCTCTAAGATCATTAAGTCCAACCGTCAACCCAACACCACCATGCGCACTAAACCATGTCCTGAACTGCCACATCCACGCGCTTCTTGAACACCTCCAGAGATGGTGACTCCACCACTTCCCTGGGCAGCCTGTTACATGATTGGATCACGCAACATGGTCAGAATAAAGATGCAGTGTGAACTCCAAACTAGCTCAATGATGCAGTCTAGTTAAAGCATGTTCATTCTTTGAGCTAGCTGTGAAGTTCTAGCGTTTTCATGGATGGTTTTCTTTGGGAGAGTGTCTACAGACTACCTTTGGCAGGGTACCTACACTATCTGTTGACCACCATCTGCATGCCTGAACATTTGCAATGATCAACTTCCTTATCTTCAGATAGGACCCACTCCACCTTGAGGCACTTGGTAGGTTTCACCAAGTTCAAGCAGCTCACACTCCACTGTCAAGGTGGAGCTTCTGAACCAAGGACATTGTATGGTAGGGCAAAACAAGCCCAATAACGAATGACTCGACTGTCTCAACCTTCACAACCTCTTCAATAGACAATTACAGGGCTTTCCAGAGCTCATACCTCTTTGCTTCCACCAAATGCCATATTTTTGCTTGGGTGGGGAATGGGTAGTAGAAGGTACTTTTCAGCTGGATCTTACATCCATGGTTATCTCAAATTTATCTCCCACATAAAACAAGCGGTTCCTTTTGAAAATTTTGCTTCCTGCTATAAACAACCAAGTCTTAAGTTCCAGAATGGCCCACGAATCAGCAGTGCTACCTTGAACACCTCTGCCTATCTCTGCTAGACATTATCGATGAAGGAAGGGCAGAGCTCCATGACAACATCAGTCTTTTCCAGATTTCTGTCTGAATTGGACAAAGGCTTCAGTAAACCTCCTCCCTTGTTAGTGGAAATCCTGCTGTGCAGAACACCCCAGGGCTTTACCACTGACATAGCCTGCTGATTTATATAACTTCTTCCTGTATTTCTGATAGATTCACTTCCTCTCTATTTCCTTTACTGAGAAATTAGCACCAGGAGAAGTCTCGCTAATTAGTATTTATTTATATGGAGCTGACACTATCCACAAAAGTGTGGTCTGACTGTTCCAGTTTCTCTGCTTTCTACAGTTACCAAAATGGATCAGGCAGGATGGATTACAGGATCGATCACATCTGTGCATTTCAAGGCAGGAAGAAACCACTGAGAACAATTCTCTCCCTGATTCCTGAGTGAACCAAGCGGAGAAATACAACATAGTAATATCTGCAGCTACAGATTATTTTTTAAAAAGATATCCAATGTGGCTTTTAAAGCATTAGGTGATAGGAAATCTGCTATATGTGCAGGCAATTTCTGTCTGAACTGCAGTAGACAAAGCCTTCAATCCCAAGACCTCATTATACTACCTCCATTACATTCAGGATCTCCCTGCAGATATAGTAGCCTCTGATGAAATCACCTCTTAATCTTCTTTCCATTTCAGACTAGGAACTGCCTGAATTGCTTAGGGTTTTGCCATTTAAGATGTGTTTTGCAGTTGCTTCCATTGTTTCAACACAGGTCCTTTTGACCTGTGCCTACCAGGTAAGTTCTAGCAATAGTGCCATTAGTTCCCATTATTCCATTTGAGCCATCATTTATTGTACTAAACATACTTTGATTTTCCTGTTGTAGTCTACAGTTACTATATAATCTAACATTTTAGTTAATACAAAGCATCAATTTTCCTTTTTAAGGCATGGAGCATAGATCACCAGTATCATTGCAAAACTGAAGCAGTAAGTATCAGAAAAGAATATAGAAATAGTGTCACTCCTTTTTAGATAAGCTATTGTGCAGCCATTCAAATAATGGATGGTGAATTTCCAAATATATATTATGGTGACTGAAATTTGGAGGAAAGAGCTAGTAGAACTTTTCCTAGAACTTGGATTAAGGAGATGATATTTGAAGTTCTTAGGGACAATATACATTTTTGTTTGTAGAACATACAAAGTCTCTGTGTGGAAGATTAGACAAGCCTTGGAAAAATAATAAATTACTGAAAAAGAAATGAGAATGAATGAGAAAAACGAAAAGTGAGAGCGAATACTTCCTATAGATTTTACCTTTTGTCCTTTGTGCTCTGTGATCACTGATACCTTTATGGTTTGCTTGTTCTCTACAGAAAACCACAACCCAGAAACGCCACTTATGGGAGATGGTAGTTCAAAAATAGGCTGAAAAATCGCATAGCTCAGAATGTTTTAAAAAGTGACCTGATAATGACTCATCCTTTTCCTGTACTTCAGTCTGGTATAAAAATAAAGTTACAAGGGTGGCTTAGGGGTGAATGCAATATGCAACAACACCTGACAAATAGGATGCACTGAATTTTTTTATTAGGTTTTTACAGTAGGAAAAAAATGCCTGTAACAAAAGGACCATTAACTTGCTCAACATTCAGTATGAAGTAAAAATATAGTCAAAGCCAAAGGAAAAGCAGGGTTATAGAACTACAAAATAAGCTAATGGCTCATATTAAAATTTGCCAAATCACAGGAATAGTGATGACTTTAGCTCCCAATAAGCATTTAAAATCCACAAGGATTTATTATTTCTGTAAAAGAAGTTTGCCAACAGGGGAAAAAAAAAAAGGAAAAAAACAAAAATTAATAATTCAGGCATTTCTCAGCTGCTAACCTGAGCCCTGCAACTCTTACCAATCTCTGTACTTTTCCCTAAGGTTTAACGTGTGCATAATGAACTAATAGCAAAGAGGAATGAAGACAGATGCATTCATTTGCATGATCTAACTTATATAGTCAAGCTTGATGAACAAATCACTGCAGCAAAACAGTAAAAGGCACAGCTGCGAGAACGTATCTATGTAATCCCTTTTGTCATCCAAATTGCCAGCATATACCAAAGAATTAGCACAAAAACTGAAACGGTCTCATATTAGCACCTAGTAATACTGCACTATTAGCCTGTAAGGCACTAGGAACATTTTCACATCTGCAGGTCACTTCAAGAAGTGCATTTCTCGGCGAAAATCTGAATGTGACATCAATGTAAGAGGCTTACATCATCCCGGAGCAGTCTCATTATTCTATGCCGCAGGAAGAAAGATTTTCCCTGTCAAGCTCCAAAATGTGATGCATGTTTCACAGGAAAGTCTTTTGGCTTTTGTTTCAGCATTTCCTCTTATCCTCCAGAAACTTCAGGTGAAAAGGAACAAAGATGATTACAACCTATCTGCCTCTCCAAGAATATTAAGACACGCTAGCTATATATTCTGGTTCCCATCTACTTCAAACACACATCTTGTAGACTGTGTCTCTTGCAATGGCTTTCTTTCATTTCAGTGACCAAGAGGTTAAGACAAAGAC